CTGAGCGGTAACATAATGATCCGCTGTGTGTATACTGAGACAGAGAAGCCTGTGAAGCCCGGCTTAGGGCAAGTTCAGAGACCGTGCTTCAACCTGGATTGGATGACAAATCAGCCGTACATAACCAGAGAAGAACTAGCAGGAAATCAATGTGTCTGTCCACCTATCCTACATCAATACAGTGTCTCATTTGCTCACCATATGCCTGTTGTTCTCGCTGTCTTTCTCTCCCTCGTGTTCTTTCCCTTTTCCCCCCTCTCATCCTCTCTCTTTTCTCGCTCTCTCTGCAGTGTGGTTCTTTGAAAGCACACTGCAGACAGCATCTCTATTTTAAGGACACCTTTGTTTTTCTGGTTTGTATTCAAATGATCAGGCTCGCAGGCAGAAGGATGCAACTCTGGAGACGGGAGGGATGGAGGGAGAGGAGGGAGAAGAGGTGGCGAGTTGGCTTTTGGAGTCAGGTTTCCCTTAGAGTAGATCTTTACGGGCCGATAACAAATGGGGGAATGCACAGTTAATACCCCTAAAGCGGGTCACATGACCTTTGGGCTCAATTACCTCTAGTTTGGGTGGTCAGGAGAGAGAATAATGCTCATCTACAGCGCGTGTGTCACATACCGTAAACGCACAATATGACACTTCACACTCAGAGGCAGCGTGCCTTTGTAGTGATACGGCAGCGTTACCATGTGCGGCCATCCCAAACGGCCAAACTAGACTGTACATCCCAACGTGAGTGAGTGTAGCCAGTGACACATTTCTGTCTGTCTGGGGCATTTGGTTTGCAGTAGTTTTTGCCATGGTTCATCTAAAGCGTAAACAAAGGCATCACACATAAATTCTGGATCTCTCACACACTCGTTAATAGCAAATTACCTCCGTAAAGTAGCACTCGGGTTTTGGTATTGGAATGAGAGACAAGTGCAAGTGTTTGCTCATTGCTGGCACTTTGTTTCTAAGCAGCGTGCAAGTGTTGACACACTCATCTTGACATCTTAATTCTTCCTACCACGTGTTTACAGTACAGTAAAGCTATGTTTCTTTAGCTCTCTAGGGTTTTCAGCTGGAAAGACGAGATGAACGAAGGGAA